TCTGAATTGCCTCTGTTTTGGATGGGTCAGTAGCTACACCCTCAGACGATATTATGTGACCCAAATACTCTACACTTGGTTGACCAAAAAGACACTTTTTGCGATTTGCAAAAAGCTTGTGGTGATCCAAGATGTCCAAAACAGTATGTAAGTGCGCACAATGCTCCTCAACCGTCTTGCTATAGATCAATATATCATCGAAAAACACAAGAACATACTTCCTCAACAAGGGTCTGAAGATAGCATTCATCAAAGATTGAAAAGTAGCTGGTGCATTCGTTAGTCCAAACGGCATCACCAGGAACTCATAATGTCCTTCATGGGTCCTGAATGCAGTCTTCTCCACATCCTCTTCAACCATACGAATCTGGTGGTATCCCGATCTCAGGTCAAGTTTAGAAAATATACGAGCTCCATGGAGTTCATCCAACAACTGGTCAATGACCGGGATTGGAAACTTGTCAGGAATTGTAGCTCTATTCACTGCTCGATAATCCACACAGAAACGGTATGACGAGTCTTTCTTCTTGACTAACAAGACAGGGCTAGAGAACGGGCTCTTACTTTCTCGTATAATCCCCGTTTGCATCATCTGTGAAACCAGTTTCTCAATAGCTTCCATCTGAGCATGAGGGTATCGATAAGGGTGCACTTTGATAGGTTTCTGGCCTGGCTCAAAACGTATGGCATGCTCATAACCCCTCACCGGTGGTAGCTCACTAGGTTCAGCAAAAACCAAGTGAAAACGTAACAGCAATTCCTCCAAAATACCAGGTAAAGAACTTCCCTGCTCCTTCTCCTGCACTTCCTCATTCAACAGTTCAAGCTCCGCTGTGAGAGCCTCAGCGGATCTACTTTGAATCACCAGAGATGAATCTCCCTTCAAACTCACCAACTTCCCACGCAATACAAAACTCCACTCCTGAGTCTCCCAATCAATCGCACAACGTCCCAAAGTCCTGAGCCATTGAACTCCCAAAATCACATCAACACTCCCTGGCTCTAAAACAATGAAATCATTAGTCAACTCCAAATTTTGTACTATTAACGGCACGTTCTTACACACTCCTGTGCCCTGAACCGTTATCCCCGTACCAACCAACACAGAAAGATTAGCACAATGAGTCTGCGTTAGTTTAGCTTTTTCAACAATAACTGGTGAGATAAAATTGTGTGTCGCTCCACTATCAATCATCACCACCACACTCGTCTTCCCAATGAACCCTCTCATCTTGGTAGTGGTAGGTGACGACATCCCAAAAAATGAATACAATGACAACTCCATTCCTTCCATTATCAACTCAAATGGATCTTCCACAGAATCCAAAAATTCATCCTCCATAACCTCCACTTCGGATCCTCTGACTACCACCATGACCTTTAATTCTTTGTTCTTGCACACATGTGAACGCGACCACTTCTCATCACACGTGAAACAAATTTTGTTCTTTTTCTTAAACTCATACTCCGCGTCAGACAACTTCAGAGGTGGTTTAGGAACAGGAGGTGGCCTCCCCGTTTCACTCTGTTGTCTCCTCATGTGGTTCGACCCCGGTAAAGAAGCAGAGCGAAAAGTAGTACTTGAAGTTTGTTTTGGGGTGACTGTACTAGTTGTTGCAGCCGATGAAAGCAGTTTGCAAAATTCACTATCTTCCATAGAAATAACAGCTGCAATATGATTGGGAAGACCTATTGGTTCCTTCATTTTAATCACCTCTTTCATCTCCTTCTTCAAGCCATTAAAAAACACATCCACCAAATGTGCTTCATCAATCTTCACTTGAGAAGCTAACTCCTGAAATTCTTTCACATACGCTGCGATTGTGCCTGTTTGTTGAATGCCAAACAATCTTTTCCCTGGAGTTTTCTCATAACTCTCTGCAAAACGAGCCAGCATCCGTGTCTTGAACTCAGGCCAATCACAAAATGGTCTATGCTCAATCTCATAGTTGTACCAACTCAACGCATCCTCTTCAAGACTCAACGACACTGCATCCATACGAGCTTGAGGAACGTAATGATACACTCGAAAGAATCGTTCCGCTTGAGCAATCCATCCATAAGGATGAGAACCTCCAAAGATCGGCATCTCGACTCTCCTTCTAGATCCATCTCTACAATCCCTATGATGATCTAAATTCCGATAACCTAGCGACGAATCATACCAATTATGTTCCGAGTTAGGGTTTGGTACCGGACAATTCGACGTCGCGGGATTATTATCAGGAGAATCAGCGGCTTGAATCGGTGCTTTCTGAACCCTAGCCAACGCCGTTAACACCGATTGCAGCGTCGCATCCAACGTCCCCATCTTCGCCTCCAACTTCGCCTCCATCGACTTGTTCGAATCAACGATTCGCTTATAGCCGCCTTCCAGAAACTCAAATCGCTTGGTTAACTCAGCCACCGAGTCATCGATCTCCTCGACTCGCTGTAACGACTCGCGCAAATCCGCCATTGCTATGCTCGAATCCCTCACCGCACCAATTGATAAGCAACAAACAATGTATTTATTGATTATCAAAGAGAATTACAAACAAGAGAACCTTTCTTCTCAAGTTATCGAATCACAGAGAACAAGCTCTCTTGATTCCACTCTCTCTCTACGTAACAAACTTAACAACCTTCTCGAAATGTAACAAACTCTTATTTATACTACTCCTCTAATATCTTCAGACTTCATCCAATGGTTGAGCTTCAGCCACGTCAGACTCATTAACCTCCTTCTCTTTATTCACTCCTCTGTACCTCTTTCGAAAGTATACTCTCCAGGACCTATCACGAGCTCCATGTCTTCATCAAAAGTTTTAATTGACAAGGATGTGCCTGTACAATTGATTATCTCTCTTCGTGTGTGTTTCTGATTCAGAGTTCATGTTTCAGGTCAACAGAGAACCCAGGTGTTGCTTCCATGGTTAATGCATCAGAGGTTACCAAGGTTGAAACTCTATTATGGGTGAGATCTATGCCTTCCTCAGACAGGAACCCGTTCAGGTATTTCAAAACTGTTCCAACACAAATAACCTTCAATATTTACTGTAATTAATGCTTGCTCTTAACCAAATGCAGGAAGCCTTTTAAATGCAAAGCCTTTTTAATCATGGATGCCTATCATGTGATGGCACTCCACGGTGTATGTTGGATACAATTGGCCAAACCTACACAATATCAAAGTGAAGGTCTCTGACTACAACTTCACAGAAAAAAGCATACCATAACTGTCACAAAGGTTGTGCTTCCTCCAGTCCTGCCAGCTGTAAGCACCACTTGTGGAGATCACAGCCACAACATTGAAGGTGAGCAACTTCCGGGGCAAGTGTAACAAATAACTCTGCCTTTTGGTGGAACCTTCTACGCTGGATCTTCTGCTGGTGGAAGTGTTCCAACTTATGACAGTGAAGTGGAGCAGAAAGCCAAGCGTCAAAGGCTTGGTAGCTAAGACCTGTCAAATCCAAGCTCCTAAATCCATGTTGTTTTAGTTGTGCCATTATCTAAGTCGCTTAAGTTTATGTTTTTCTCTGTTTTTTATGCCTGCCAAATTCAATCTAATAGTTTAATATACTACCATATTTTCTTCTTTTTTTTTTTGAACGAACTACTATTCATTAATGAAAATGTTAACCTCCGTTTACAACAACGAGAGATAATACCACAGTTTCTTTTTTTTGCTTGGTTTTATTTGTTTTAAATTAGACTCCATTGTTTGTTTCTTGCTCGAATAAACACTAAACCCAACCGGAGAACAGTCTCTTTTTTTTGCTTGGTTTTATTTGTTTTAAATTAGACTCCATTGTTTGTTTCTTGCTCGAATAAACACTAAACCCAACCGGAGAACAGTCATATAACTATCCACCAGATATCTCTACTAAACACAACTGTTAGTGGAAATATAGAAGGGTTAAACATCAATGCTGAAAAAAGAACCTCACGAAAACAACTAAATTTTCCAAAAAAAAAGAAGAACGTCAAAAAGTAATATTTAGCAAAGAACAAAGAATAAAAAAATAATATTTAGTAGAGCTCTATGGTCTCTACAACATAAAAACCTTATGAAAGCCATTCTATTTTTCTTGACTTTAATGGATTTTTAGAAAAATATACAGTACGTAATTAACTTTTTACCTTTTGTAAATGTTGTATTTACAAAAGATTTATTAGATCCAACATTTTTGAAGTTAAAGTTTTCTTCTACAATTTTATTTTTCATGTACACATCTAAAAAGATTCTTTTAATTGGTAAAAGCTTAAACAAACAGTTAGCCACTAATTATGTAATACAAAACGGAAAGATAGAAGGAATGAATAAGTTAGGAAATCAAAATTTATAATGATTTGAATTTAAACAAGATTTGTTTACTGTAATAATATTTTAAATAATGTATTATGTGCATTTTTGTTATTAATTACATTTTACATTCTAATAATTAAAATAAATTATATTTTTCCTAATTTCCAATATATACTCACTATAATTTACCTTAGATTGCATGAACTTCTAATAATTCTAGAAAATAAAAACGAAAAGAGTAAGTATAACATTACATATTCCAATAGAAATAACATAATATCTTAAAGTAATTAAAAATTTTTAGAAATAAATTTGGGCGTAGCCCGGAAAAAATCTGTAGTTTCTATAACATATCGTTACTTCTTTATTATTAGCTATACCTCAGGTTTTCCTATATCACTATCAAGTGTAGAAGAAAAGGTTAGAGAGAGAAAGAAGAGGGAAAACATCATTTGTTTGATTTGATGGCGATAAAATGTTTTACAAGCTAGAGTCGCGTCATACATATACAATCTAAACGGGCTTAAACTAGTAGAGAGGATATGAATAAAGGTGAAAGCCCAATAAACTCAAGTTGTATTCTGCCCGTATATCTGACCGGGAAATTGCCCTAAACTGCTCAGGCAAGTCCCGACACCATAAAGCGGCAAAACCCACCCCAAAGGTTTCGATTCGATTCTGTCTCTTTGGATAGGGGATTGGCAAGCTAGCGATGCAATCAGAAGAATCGTCATCGATTGATAACGAGCCTAGAAGCTGCGGGGATAACTCTGTCTGGGCCCATGTATCGCCTCTCCTTTCCGCTGCTTGCAATGGTACTCTCTTCTCCCTCACCTTACTCCATTATTTGGTTTAGAATCTGTGCTTAGTTTCTTTCTTGTGCAGATCTTCACGAGGGCGAGCTCATTCATGGAGATAATTTCAATCTTTTTGCTGCTATGTCTGCTTTGGAGGTTCTCATACTCTTCTTTATTTCTACAAAACATAGATAGTTTTTCCTAGAACGTGCATCTTATGGTGTTACTTTATTAAAAAAAAAAGACACGTACACGCATTGTCTAATTGATTTCATCTCGCTTTGTACTAGATAATGGACCCAAAGATGGATTCCGGTATGGTGTCTACATTTTATTCTATTGATGAAGCCATCGAAAGTGGTTTAGCCCCCGTCCCTATCAGCTCTGATAGTACCCTTAATGTTCAATCCATCATTGACATTATGGACCATCTCTTGGCCTGCGAGGTAATCTCTATTTAAGACAATATCTCCGACTTGGATTTTTTTTTTTACCTGTTTCTGGTTGATCTCATGTCACTTCCTTAAAACTTTCTACTCTTTGGCAGGCAACGTGGCACATGGGTCATTCGTTGGCACAAACTGTGTTTTCATGCATCTATGTTCTGAAACCTGAGAGGACATCTTCACATGCTCTCTTGCATTCTTTTTGTAGGGTCATCCGAGCCACTTGCAGGGCTCTTGTTTCTGTTGTTTCAGATTCCCGTACAAACGAAGTAAATTAACTTTAGCCTCTTTCCTTTTTCTTTTTGGTGCATAGCTAATGTTTCATTAGTAGTGTTGTTTTTGGTTCACTGTTTGCTTCTTACATCTGATGTATCCACCATATTTTTTGCCGGTGTAAAGAAAAACACTTGCATACCCATTCTGAATTCCATTGTTCTAGTCCAGCCTAGGAAGGTAGTTTCTTGAAATCATGAAATGGTTAGCAGATGCTAGAACTTAGTTGTGTAGAATAATTTCACCATTGCGTTGGTAAATGCATATAAAAAATGGATAAGATTTTTTGTTTTGTATTTAAGTTTTCGCATTGGACTACCTCCTCCTGACTAAACAGCTGCTCCTGCTGTCATGAATTTTTACACTGAATGATTCACCTGTTACCTGTTTGATAACAGGAAGAGGATCTTTTTACCATGACATATGGTCTTTCTTTTAATGGAGATGAAGATGCGAACTGCTTGTTACTCTTAAATGCGGTTGAAGAAACAATCTGTCGTCAGCTGCGTGCTTGTAATGCTACATCATCAAAGAGGAGAGTGTTGGAAGGTACTTGTACTTTCTTACTTTCTTTTTTATTTTGCATGATAGAGATGCGAGAGAGTTTTCATATGATGGAATTGAAGAGTCCTTCATTTCGTCTTTTCCTTGATATGCTGTTGACAATGTATAATGTTGATTTTTTATTTGGAGAAAGTATCATTAATTGGAATTAGATGTTGTGCAACTGCTCTCTAAACATATAACAACATGCCTTCTCTGCCCTATATGATATTTTGAGTCTTCTACTAAGTAATGATATATGTAAAGCCTTCTGATCATTTCTATTGAAGAATTACCATCTGTGAGAGTTATATTATCCTTTGTTTGATTGCAACACTGCTTCATAACAGCACGAAGAAAGGCCATTGACTTTCTTTTTCTTGTATGTCGGATGATGCAGAATTGGAACCTCTACAAACTAATTCTCAATTGGAAGAGAGCTTTTGCAATGCCCTGTTATGCCGGATACGTTTTCGTAAGGTCTCATGCTTTCATTAATTACTTTTTTATAATCTTTGTTACATTTTACAGTAGAACCTCTATAAATTAATACTCGATAAATTAATAAATTTCACCGGTCCCAACTTGAACCGGTGTAAAATATGACACAAATAGATAAAATAATAAGATAATAATATTTTTAAAACTGTCATGTAAATATATAGTCCCATTAAAATCATAAATTAATAATCTACATATATATATATATATTTTTTTATATAAGTACAATCTAACATTATATTGTTGGTTTTATATTTACAATAAAAATACTTTTTTTATTTTTTATTTTTTACCATTTCAATATATTTTGATAATATTTAGTTAAATTATAGCGAAACCCATGTAACAATTCTATGAAACATAAAAATATACACCAAATAAGATAATAAAATAATATAAAAGTAAAAATTCTAAAATTTAAATAACGTACATACGCTAAATCAAATATTTTTTATTTTAAAAAGAAAAATGAAAAAATAGAAAAACTAGAAAAAATCAAAATAAGGAAACTTTTGTAAATTAATATCTCTATAAATTAATAAAATTTCAAAGTCCCAAAGATTATTAATTTATAGAGGTTTTACTGTATTTGCTATTTACAGATTTTCTCAACCTTAACGTTTGGAGGTCGACCATATTAACTAGTGTATAATATAGTATTGGGTCTGTTCGTTTTATGACTAAGAATCCTGACCCCACCCTCAATCAGAATATGAGTATGATCGAGTTGCTTTTGTTCGACCTAATCTCACAATGTTGCCGTATGTTTCTGTGTCATGTTTTCCAAGTTGTGACACTCTCATAAATGAACAAGGTTAACTTTGAAAATATGGCAGCCCTGGTTACGTCTTTACTTTCATTTATGGTTAGAAATACTTGTCAAAAGTGAGTTACGAATTTGTTATTGTGTTTCTGTAACTATCTTTTGTGTCTTAGTAGCTTTAATGAAGTTGCTGCATTGCTAGTGCTCATCACTTTTTATCAATAATTTTCAGCATTTTCTACACGCTCTTAATTGTATGAGAAGACCACAAGGACGAGGCCTAGAATTGGCAAGGAAACACATAGCGTATTGCATAGCGGAGCTAGATTCTGTTCTGAGCTCTGTGGAATTTCTAAGTTTAGAGGCTGTCGAAAATGGCCAAATCGAGATGGAAGAAAGTACAACTGGATCGGGTCGTCACCCAATTGGATTTGATCCTACTTTAAACAAACGATTATCAGCTCCAACTCCACCGCGTGCCGTTAAACTTCTTTCTTGGAAAAAGGTTGGGACTTCCAAATTATCTGTATGCATAATAATTTGTGTAAATATATAGGAGAGAGGCTAGAAGAAATTTTTGCTTGATAACATCTTTCATGCAACTTTTTTGTTCTCCAGGCAATCGATTATTATGTGAAACTTCTTCTCAATCTGGATCAGATCTGTGCATTCAAATTGGAACCAGACTTGGATGCCGTCTTGCAGTTTGTGGTTCAGTTTCAAAAATCGCGTCCTGATTTGGTTGCTAGAGCTCATCTTCAGGTGCTGATCAATAACTTAATACATCAATGTCTCGCAGCACTTTACGGCTTCCTATACCAATGCATTCACATTTCATTGTCTTGTGCAAATATTGTGGCTATGATTGCACTGAAGATGTTCACATGCATTCTTCGGGTTATGTTTGCGTAATACAATATATTCTCTTTTTTCCTCTTTCCTTGCTCGCAGGTCTTTTGTTTAAGCACTCATTTCTGAATAAGAGTTCAATGATTGAACCATGTAGATATCACATAAATCTCACTATTTTGTAAAGTTAAATTTGCATGAACCTAGAACCGCTTTCCTTGCTCGCAGGTCTTTTGTTTAAGCATTCATTTCGGAATAAAAGTTCAATGATTGAACCATGTAGATATCCCAGAAATCTCACTATTTTGTAAAGTTAAATTTGCATGAACCTAGAACCGCTTTAGAATATACTACTTTTTAATGATAGATGTTATGACATGGGATTATGCAGTGCCTTGCATTCCCTTCTGACTTCCAAACGGTGTGAGTCGGTGACTTATAAGATTAAGATCTAATATACATAATAACTGTGGTTGATTCCGTTGAGCACTGATATGGTAGTCTATTTTTGTTATGACGTATGCAATACTCGCGAAATGAATTACGTATTAAGCTAGCATAATGCCGTTATTTTTTTTACTCAATGAAAGATTTTGTTCTACAGCTTCTCCTTGTGCAAGATGGGAAGCTTTACGGCCGTGATACCTTTTTGACTATTTGCGCGAGGTCTCTTGCATTGGACGTCACAAAGAACCATGGACTTCATTTGAATGAGCACATTCTTCAACTTAATCAGGTATATTGAAAAAAGTAATACTCACTTATTTTTTTATGAAGATGTGAAAAGGGATACACTTTTCACGTACAATCTAGTATGAGGTGGCTTTTTATTTTCCTAGTGAGGCACTCTGTGTAAAGTCAGTGTTGGACTTTTGATCTCTGGTAGTTATTCATTTGTTTGAGAAAAATGGATGGAAAATTAGTTTAAAAAGGGTTCTAAAACCTCATTAAACCTTTGAAGGAATCATCTTTTATTTTCTGTACTCAATTTCTGGGCCGGCTTTCAAGTCCCAGTAACTAGAGAAATTTTCAGCATCTGTGGATGTAACTAATTTGCAATCATTAAGAAGGTTTTCTTATATATATAATGTAGGCAATTGGTTTTTGTGGAAACTTTGGCCATAATTCCTGACCTTAACGTTTTTGGTAGCCTCTGGAAAGAAAGATGTAACAAATGGATGAAATAATCAACTGGTTTCTAACATAGTAAGCACTGTTTGACTCTTTTCTGTTTTGATGTGCAGTTGATGATTAATCTGCTTAAAATACTATGTGCTAATACCCCATGGCAGAGGCGTAAGCTTGGGAAAATCTTAAACGACTGGAGCATATACAATGTGCAGGTTGTACCATTTACAATTTTGAAATTACAGTTTAACGTTTTTGCCTCTTAATGTTTTTGCATACCCTAAAAATTGTGCATACTGATTTTGGTTTTAGTGTTAACATCTCAATTCATTTATGGTCCTGTATTTGGCAGATGGGAATTACTGTTAGTCATATGATGCAGCAAGTTACAGCACCGCGTACTCCGAAAAATGGGGTATGTTTACTACCATTACTGTGCTTTTGATGCCAGGTCCATTGAATCTAACTTCCGTACTCTATTTGATAGCTGTTATACTTATTTTAGTAGAAACTACTGAGTAGTCTAACCTCTAATACTCTTTCATTTCTCTTTTTGAATTTTATTTGCGCTAGTGAAAAGTAGAGATGGAATGTTGTGTTAACTTGCATGTTTGTACTTTTCAGGATAAGTCTCTGCTCATTTTAAATTATATTTATGGTTGGTTAGAGGAGCAGATTCATTGGGTGGCACTTCGATTTCTTGTACTGGGATTCGATCTAGAGCTCTACTCTCCAAGTGAATATTGTATGGTATACTGGTATATGTACATTATACTCTGGAAGCTTGCTGAAAAAGCACACTTCAGGGTCTTAATTATTGTTCACACTGGTGAGAATTGGTATATTATTTTTTTCCTTTTCTATTATTGTGATTTAAAGATCAGCCATCTGTACAGTAATCGTCTTGACGTAATTAGACATTGTATTTGTATGTCATTGTTAACTCGCGTACGCGTCATCAACTGTATCAGAGGAACGGAAGGCAAAGAAGAAAGAGGATTATTCTAGGGATATGGCTCGGGAAGATAAGATTAGTCTATGGGTATTACTTCTCAAGTGTCAGACTAGCCTTGCACAAGGGCTCGCTGTGGTACCATTTTTTTTGTTTCAAGCTCCTTTGATTAATGTTATCAGATGCTTTTTCCCCAACCTAACCAAACCTTGTGCGTAAACCATAGATGATAGCTGCTTTAAGAAATGAAGGAATGTGTTTAAAGAGTCAAGGACCTTTTAATTCCGAAAATGAGGTAAAAGCGTAAATCTGTTCTCTGTTGCATAGTTATTGAGTTTAATATGCAAATTTCAGCTTCAGCTTCTGTGGCCCTTTTGTGTATATGACGTCAATTTCCCATTTGTCTTGTCTTGCAGAAATTTATTCAGCATTTTGGACTTCTCAAGAAGGCTTCGCTTCCCAAATATGATGCATATGAATCATTCTCTGAATCCACGTCTCATGCTCGTCTCGATGTAAGTTTTGATCTTTACAACATTTTTTAATAGTTAATCTCATTGGAAGTTGACATATGATTTTGTAAGAAGTTAGTATAAGTAATGGGCGTGATATGGGGTAAATGAATTGGAAAGTTTTCAAGTTGTATCCATTACTTCTTCTTTTTACTGCAGTATCTTCCTGCATATGAGTGCTTCCGAGACGCTCAAAAGATGGCTAAAGACATAAAGGTGGGTTACGCCATCGACCCTGATAAATTGGCAGAAGTAGTTGGATTAGAGCAAGTAGCGGAACACAATATTTGTGACACCCGATTCTTCCAAAAATAATATAATTAATAATAATTACTGAAAACATCGGATTTAATAATAATACTTAAAATTCGACATAAACCGTGCCACATAAGTCCAAAACATAAAACGGTTCAAGGCCCAATACATAACATCCGTAATAACGTCAATAACATAAACCGAAAGTCTGAAATAAAATAAGCGATAAAAGTCCAAAGGTTTATAAGCCCAAAAACGATAAAATACGATAAAATACGATAAGATAAGATAGAATACTATAGAAGCCCAAAAGCCCAATAGCACCGGTCCGATATGGTCACTCCTGCTGATCGGTCTCACCTGCAAGGGGAAGAAAGAGGGGTGAGCAACAGGGGAGTCGCTCAGTGAGGTATGGGATGCTACCCCGAAGTCCGTAGACCCGGACATAGCACTCCAAATAAATATAATTTAACTCTAATATGTACAAACACGGCACCTAAAGCACCCAAGCAAACAAATAATGGTCCTAGCGAGTCGCGCACTCGCTGCCCGCTAACGGGCCAAATACAACACAACAACCACTGAGGATAGTGCCCCGGCACCGCCCCTAGACGATTTATCGTCCCTAAGCTACGGCTCAACCGGTCGACTAAAGTTGGCCGTAACCCTAAAACAATCCGGCATACAGAAGTCCTTCTCTGTATCCGGCCAAACAATCCTAACTAAATGATTTACATTAAGTGAATCAATCAATGTTGAACCATCTAACCACCTAGTTCCGGTTTAGGCACAAAACCTAAAACTAAGCAGGCAATGACAGACTCGATTTCACGCAGACGGAACATAATATAAATAAATTATACTTATTTAAAATCCTAAGTCACGTACGAATCGTTCGGAAGTAGACCCTCACCTTAGCAACAGGGGAGAAGTGGTCTCTATGAACTCCAGTTGCTCAAATAGATCCCAAATCTGAAATCAGATCGAAATTCCGAGTCAGTTTGACCTTCGAACGGTCGAAAACGGACAATTACGGAAAAGTCAACTCGCAGGTCAAAGGTCAACCCGGTCAACCTTGACCCAAGCCGGTCAACCCTTGACCAGAAATCAATTTGACATAACCAATCGGTTTGACCTTAACCGATTTCGAATTCGATTGAACCGAAACCAAATCAATTCCAATCCGGTTTATCCTTAACCGAAATTGAATTAATTAAATTAACCGGTTTACCCTAACCGATTTCTAATTAATTTTAACCGCCGGTTTAACTAAACCAACAACTAACCAGATTTGACCAACCTAAACCGGTTGACCGAGTCACCGGCGAGTCACCGGACTCCGGTCACCGGTCCGGCGAGGACGCGGCGGCTTACCGGCAGAGGAGCGGCGGCTTACCGGCGGAGGAGCGGCGGCGACGGCGCGGCGGCGATGGCTTCCCGGCGGCGGACGGACGGCGACCGGCGGAGGCGGCTCCGGCGAGGCGACGGCGGCGCTCCGGCGAGAGGCGGCGGCGCGTGTGCTTCACGCGCGCGCGGCGGCTCAACTTCGGCGGGCGCGTGACGGCTACTCCGGGGTCGGATTTCGGCGTTTTCGGGGTCTACGGCTTCGTCTCGACGAGTAGAACACGATGGTACCCTTGCATTCACGAGATTCTCAACGGTTAGGAAGTTATGGACGTTTTACTAAACGGATCAAAACTAACTTAAAAACGTGGCGGTTTCCGGTGGTTACCTAGGCTGGGGGTCGGCGGTGACGAGCTGGACGGGTACTCTGGTCGTGGTGTCTCCGGTGACGAGCTCAGGCGAGTCTATCTCTACAAAACCAAACACTCTTTCTCAAACTCTCTCTCTAAACTCTCTCTCCAAACTCTCTCTCTCTTGCATGAAATTTCTGAGAAAACAAGGTGGTGAAAATAGCTTTTATAGCTACTACCTTTGGCCAATTCGGATGGGCCTGAGGCTTGGGCCGAAAATGATGAATTTTGTGGGTTTGGGTCTTGACAATATTATTGTTGTAAACCTCTGTCAAGACCGTTCTTTTAAGGTCTCGTTTGAGTTCATTCATCATCCTCATTTCGCCACTGCCGTTGTTCGTAGATCATGAATATCTATCTACCCTATTACATTTCGAATCAAGTGTTTTTCTCCCTATTTTTTCTCAAGGTTCCTCCTTATCTTTTACTGTTCTCCGTAAAATTTTGTTCTGAAATTTAATTATTGAAGTTCTTCTGCTTGAACATTATGGTTCTTCTGTAGTTTGTGGAGTTAAAAAAAAAATATAAAAAGAAGAATGGGAGGAAGGAATTAAGTGAGAAAGGGAAAAAAAATTGTTATCTATTCTATTAAAATAGAATCATTCTCAAATTAAGTAGAGAACATTTTTTCTTAAATGAGTTGTCTAAAATAACTTTTAAGTTTTAACTATGTAAAAGTGGGTTTGGAATGAATTATCTAAGTAGAACAAATTTTGACTTCTAACTAAAGTAAACTATTTTAAAATAATTAATTTAATTTTTTATTTTCTTCTTTATTTAAAAATATTGTTCTATTGTTCTTTTTTCTAAATTTCCAAATCAAGCAATATTTCACAAAATAAATCCTGATTCTTTTTTTTTGTTTCTATTTTTTGATCTAGAATTTAACCTCTCTATATTCTCTCATCAAGAATCCAAACAGAGACAGAAAATTTGTTTTTTTATTCAACAATTTTTTTGGTTTCAATCTGATCACCACTCCACGACCTCTTCTCGTTGCAATTGTTTTTTTTTCTGTAGCACCAAATATGGCGGAGAACCTGTGGCGAATCTGTAGAGTTGTTTTCTCTGCAACCCATCTTCATCTTCTCTGCAATTTAGGATCAGTGATTGTCTATGTCCGTCAAAGATCCCAGTCAACAAGATCTCAATAGAATCCACAATCACAACAAGCTCCTCTATGGTCAGAATGGGAGATGGAATCTTTGTAATGAATGCTCTGTTCTAGGTTGGTGGATGGAGACAAAAAAAAGAAGAGATGTTTGGTTTTAGACAAAGAAGACAGAGATTAAAACTTGTGATTACGGTGGTGATGGATACGGTGGTAATGGATATAGTTGTGGTGGATACGATGGTGGTTACGGTGGTGATAAATACGGTGGTGATTGATACAATGGAGGTGGCTAATCGAAAGAAGAAAGTGGTGGTGGTGGGGTGATGTATATGGTGGTGGTGGATATATTGGTGTAGATACAATGGAGGTGGTGGTAAATATGGTGGTGGTAGATACGGTAGAGGTGGAGGTAGAAGACGTGAAAATGAGGGTTATGGAGTTGAGGCCGTGGTAAAGTAGGCCATAAATACCACAGTGAAATTTGTGATAGTTTTGGAAGAGGAGGTGTGGAAGGCATGGACGTAGATATAATGACGGTGAGGATTTGACGGTTGAGGTGTAGAGGAGGAGACAGTGGATGCAATCGATATAGAGTTCTGTTGTTGGTGGATTGTGAGTGGTTAATGGCGGTTGTGAGATGGTTGATGGCGGAACTGACAGAGGTTATGGTTGAGAGTTTAGAATAGAGGAGGAGACAGTGAATGCAATTGAAGTGGATTGTGGTTGGCGAATTTTGAGGTGATATGTATAGAGTTAAGGAAGGAAATCGTCGTGGGTGGTGGAAAAAGAAAACGGTAAAAATTTGAAGGTGAATTAAAAAAAATGGTGGTGAAAAAGATAAAGTAAAAATAAATTAAAATGATTTAAATTTATTTTAAAATTAAATGACATAAAATTATGTGATTTATAGTCAATCTCACAGAAATACAAGTTCTATTGTAACTAAAAATACTTCTTTTTCACAAAAATACAATTCGGAAACTCTTTAAAATTAGCTTCATGCACATATATACAATTCGGAAATGACTGAATCATTTAATCGACGATTTGACCCTATTTCTTGACATTATTTAATTTTCACTTGTTGTTATTGATGTGGTGATAATGTGTGAAAAACGATTCACTGTTCATCAATATAATTTAAAGGTCTTGAATACAAACTCTGCTACTTGAAACTATTCAGTTCTTTCTAAATACAGCTTTGGTGATGATGACGATCGATGCATATGCTTCTTCTTTGAAGAGGTTGATGAAACAAATGTTTTCATCTAACTTAATAATTTTGTAATAGTCAAACCTTAAGAAAATGGTTAGAAGTTAGTTATAATATTGAAATACTTTATTGATTATATAGAAATTTGAAACTGACACTATCTTGTACAAGTTGCTTTTTCTTTTAGTTGCTAATAAGAAGCACTAATTAATAACTAAAATGCATTAAATTATAATTCAGTTCGCAAAATAACAGATACAAATGAAAAGAGTAATAATATGCAAGAATTCCATTTTATTATATGTGAATAATATAATTAAATGATATATTTTTTGCGCTCTGGACATCTGCAAATCATTTTTAGTCTTCTAAACTTAACAAACATAAAGCTAGAAAGATGTAAACTGATTAATGCATTTATGATTTTCTATGATTTTCTATTCTTGAATATCTGAAAGACCATTACATGTCCCAAGTTTCCTATCCAATTGTCATCTTACGGACACCATAGGTATGTGACCCCACTCTTCTGAAGCCACTAAGCACTTGGAACTTGGAAGGAAGGATGGTTGTTATATATTCGTAACCAAAATTACTATATAACACCACCATACGTGACCACGTATAATTTGACTGCTCAATTCAAACTCCAATACCCATACTGAAAGCTTCTCCTAGTTACGTACCCAAGTTAAATATGTAGATTACTTTTCTTTTTGCCATCTTCTATACCTATTACCACCTAGAATATAAAACCACTGGAACAGGTAAGATAATATAATAGTTAGCAATATAAATTAAAACTTGATTATCAGAAGTTAGAGGTAGCGAGTCAGTGACTATATACTCCAAACTCCAAGAAAGATTTAAAGGCGGAAACAAAGAAAAATTAGAGGAAATGACACTTGTATTACTAAGTTGGCAGTTCACTCCTGGTTGAACATTATTAGGTATAAAGAGAAAAATAGATGAAATAAAAGAGTTCCGTAAGAGACGAAATACATGAATAGATAAATCTAGAAACGCAATTTAAGGCA